GCCATTTAAAGATGATTTCAAAGAATACGTCTTTGTCAAAGTTCTGTATCATGATACAGACACAAATATAGCATTTGGTACATGATATAATGCAACATAATAACATAAGACTCTATTATTATAATACAGTATTAGTATGATTGTTCTACATCATGCTTGTAAGAGACATTGGCACAATTGTAATAACATTTTAAAAATGTATTTTTTTTTAAATAGCAGATTTGAAAGCATTGTTACATTGAATAAAATAGTCAAATAAATTGTTGCTTTATTGTTTACAATTTTCTATCAGGACTTACTGAACATTTTTTTTAGTTTATTTTTGACTGAAAGTACTGTATGTGTTTTTTTCACTAATCAAAAACGTCTCCAGGTTATGCATGTAACCATGGTTCCCCGAAGGGAACGAGACGGTGCATTGAAAAGCTAAGGGAACGCCTCCAGCGTGACCATGCTCTGAATCACATGTGTAATCAGTCCAATGGATGGGCAAGACGTCACGGGCGGGGTGACGTAGCGACCAGGAAGCATAAAATCATGTGCGGTGAAACCGGCGTCAGCTTCTAGGAGTGAAGCAAGCGCTGGCAAGGATGCCGGAAGTATGGCCCTGAGACGCAGCGTAACCTGGAGACATTTCCCTTCAGGAACTCGAGCTGCATCTAAATGCTACGGGAACGAGAATGCCCACTCCGCCTGACTTGCAAATCCCTGCCTAGTGTGGAAGAGCATAACTAAGGTGAGAGAAAGGGGAACCAGGATTGGCTAAAGTAGGCGGGGCCCGCTGTTCCGAAGACCAACTTCTGGAGGAGTGAGCCTTGACCCCCAAAGGAGAGGGGAGATCAGAGGACTTCAGGCTATGGAATAGCATCCTGATCCACCACTTAGCATAAGCTTCTCTGGCCGGAGGCCTCGGCCGCAGCGCACCGCGGAGGAAACGTGTAAGAATAGGGTGTCTTCCCACTGAATGGCCACCGAGAGGGGCGCGGTAGGCCGCAATGGCCACCACGAAGACCTCTAGGGTGGAGTGGGTCAAACATGCGGATAGACAGGCCTGCAGGAACTCCAGAACTGTACCAAACGGGCAGTTAGCTGGGTTGAGCTGGTGGTCTCCACACCAAGAAGTACAGTTTCCTCAACCTCGGTTGAGAGACCGGAAGCTATGAGTTGTGCCTCCTCAGAGGCCACACCCACAGCTTCCACAGTTCTGGGCGGAGGCAATCTCTCCTGATGGGAATCTCCCATGGAGCGCCGTCGAGGAGAGAAATCAGGCCCGAGAACCATACTCGGCCCGGTCAGAATGGGGCTACTAACAACAGACAGGCCCCGTCCCGGTGCACTCTCTCCAGAACTCCTGGGAGCAGAAAATTCGGAGGAAAGGCGCACAGATGAAGCCTCGGCCACGTCTGTACCATGGCTTCCAGCCCCAGTGGAGCTGGATGAGTCAGAGAGAACTAGAGGGGACAGTGCGATGTCATCTGAGTCGCAAACAGGTCCACCTGAGCCTGGCCAAAAACTCTCCATATCTGCTTCACCACCTCGGGGTGCGCACCAACACATGGTGACCTATTAGGTCTGGGAGAAAGTGTTTCAGAACTCAAAACACGGCCAGCATATCCAGACAATTGATATGCCATGTCAGATGGCAACCACTCCACAGACCGCTGGCAGGGTAGCCACTCATGACCTCACCCCAACCGGTGAGGGACGTGTCCGTCGCTAGCGTTACGCGGCGACAAGGAGCTCCCAGCACTGGGCCCTGAGAAAAAAAACAAGGTTTCCTCCACATGTCTAAGGCACGTAGGCACTCCGCATGACCGTGAGCATGCGAAGCGGGTTTCCCCTCGGGGAGAACCCCTTGGTCTTGAGCCACTGTAGGGGTCTCATGTACAGCAGGCCAAGATTTATCACATTGGACGCAGCTGCCATCAGACCCAGCAGTCTGGAACTGCTTGACAGTGATTGACCGGCCTTTTCTTAATCTCGCGACTGCGGTGAGGATCGACTCGATCCGAGCAGGAGACCTACGTGCCTGCATTGTGGTCGAATCCCACACCACGCCCAGATAAGTGGTTCTCTGTACTGGAGAAAGCACACTTTTCTTGGCTTTAAGTCTTAACCCCAGCTCTTTCCTGTGAGCAAGAACGACATCTCGATGTCGAACCGCCATTCGCTCTGATTGAGCTAATATCAACCAATCGTCAATGTGGTTGAGTCATGAAATTGTGGGGTGAGAGTGCAAGGCCAAAGGAAGAACCGGTATTGGTAGGCTTTTGCCCCCAAAAGCAAACCTCAGGAACTTCCTATGATGAGGAAGGATGGAGATATGTGCATCTTTTAGATTGATCGTGACACACCAGTCCTCAGACTTGGTCTGAGACACGACCTGTTTGAGTGCGAGCGTGTTGAACTTCAGTCCCCTGACTGAGCGGTTCAAAAAACGCAGATCTAAAATAGGACACAACCCTTCATTCTTCCTTGGAACGGTGAAGTATTGGCTGTAGGACCCGGACTCTGCTACACGAGGAGGGACCACTTTGATGGCCTCTTTCCTCAGAGAGTGTCTACTTCTGTTCCATTACCAGAGCCTGCTCGTGGCCCAAAAGGGTGGGAAAGGCCCCGTTGAATTGAGGCGGAGGAGAACCGAACTGGATTCTGTGGCCTCTCACTACAGTGTGCAGGACCCACTGAGACACGTTTGGCAGTAATTTTCACGCTGCCAAATAGTCTACTGAGGGAATCAGTCTCTCGAGACTGACCTCTGGTGTAACCAGAGCGGCTAGCTCGGTGCCCTGAAGCGGCGGACCGGCAGGGGACGGCCGTACTAGCTGCTCTAGATCTCCTGAGGGCACTGAAGAGAGACGGGCACCGTGTAATGCGGTGTACACCACTCTTTCCCAGAGGGGCCTGCCCTCCGAGGTCCTGAGCCACAGCATCAGGACTCTCATAGCTGAAGTCTCCTATTGAAAACGACGGCACTCAGACCCACATCGTCTGCTAGGAAGACTAGACCAGAGCCTGCTCGGGGGGACTCGATGAAGCACACTTGGCAGGGGCTCCCACATCGCCAGGTGACCTCCTAAGGGAACTAGTCTCGCGAGACTGGCCTCTGGTGCGCCTAGAGCAGCTAGCTTGGTGCCCTTAAGCGGCTGACCGGCAGGGAACGGCCATACTAGCTGCTCTAGAGATCTCCATAGAGGTAGCGAGTCTCTTAGTAGAGCTACGTTTCCGGGCGGTAACTGAGAGAAGCACTCGCCGGAGACCACTGTGCCCTGGAACACCGGCAGGGTTGGCAGTCCGATCTCCTTAGGGCACTGAGGAGAGACGGGCACCGTGTAATGTGGTGTACACCACTCTTCCCCAGAGGTAGCTGGCCCTCAAAAAGTCCTAGGCCTTAGGCGTCAGGACATTTACGATGAAGACTATCCAGCAAGAATGACGGTCCGCAGACCTGCCTTCAGCTAGAAGCCTTCGGCCTGGGAGCGCCACTCTGACTCTAGACTCTGCGGAGTACGAGAAGTGACGCCCCCAGAATGAGGGGCTGGAGCACGGTAGGTTGGGACTGCTCCGCCCAGCAGCCCCTGCTAACCGCCTCAACCTCCTCAGAGGAAGAGAGGTAAATGCGTGCTCTCACTCAAGAAATTTTTATCCCAAGAGCCCCTGTATATCTAACTTCTCATAGTCAGATAAATACTTCATTTTATTCCTCAGAATTAAATGCAGTCAAACAACCAGACTGTCTGTAGTAAGATTCATATCAAAAACCGAAATTATGTAATATACGCGTTGCCTCGGCAGCGCATGAGCCACTCAGTCACACAAACAACATCAATCTCCTCAGAGAAAGATGGCCGCAGCAGCCAAGCTCTCACTCAGAGGGGGAAGAAACCACAGCGCAGGCTTCCAAGCCTCGAGAACGAGCTCTAGATCTAGGGAACACGGGTGGAGATAGGAAGAGCCGTCTCCAACCCATCTGTCAGATCGTGTGCAATCCCCGCGATCTCAGTCGCTGCCGTGCCTTAGCAGAAGCTGGACCGCAATCGCAAGATCACAGGCACGGACACACTCCTCGGAGCGTGCCCGGTGATTCAGAGCCGGTCACGCTGGAGGTGTTTCCTTAGCGTTTCGACACAGCTCGAGTTCCTGAAAGGGAACTCCTATTATTTGACATAAATGTTTTATTTTATTAAAAAAGTAAACTTATTTTATTTCAGCTAGTTGCACAGGCAGCATTTCTCATTTTCATTAAGTTTTTGATGTACTAAAATAATTAAAACTGAAATAAAATGTAATAAAAAATATATACATTAAAAAACTAATAAAATGACACACAGCAAAATTACTAAAACATTAACTAAAATTAAAATGAAAACAGAAAATATAAAAATAAAAAACAGTTTCATAATATTAATAAAAAGTATAACAGTATCTCAATGATGCTAAAACAAAACTGAATGGGATTAAACACACATTAACAAGTACATTTCTTTCATGTCAAATTAGTGGGAATCTTTGTAAAATATATGATTTTTAATATTAATTTGCAATGGGCCCAGTATTTGCTTTGTAGGTTTTTTCTTTTCTTTTCTGACACACACACACACACACACACACACAATGATGCACACAAACAAGCCTCTATAGTAACAGCATCAGAGCGTAAATAAATAATTTCTCCTTTAAGGGAAATTTAAACCAAGGAAAGAGCTGACAGATTCACCAACACAAAAACATACAAGCCTGAGAGGCAGACAGATGCGAGCGAGGTATCAGCGGGATGAGTGCTGCACTCTCAGCGTGTGACGGAGGTGTCAGGCCTCCATATGTGAACACTGTGACACTACACGCCTGCCGCACATCTAAACAGATGAATATTTAACACGGGGTCAATGAACTCACAGACGGACCTTCTCATTATTTAGCTTATCAGCAGCGCCGCCGAGAATGCTAACGACAGCAACCACACCACACTTATATACAGCATCAGCCACAAAACTGGCCATTTTCCACCGTAAAACAATAGATATGTATAAAAGTAACTAAATCACACACACATTATTGAAGTTTATAAACGCCACACTGACATCTTATTTATTATCCAATTATTTGATAAGAATGCTTTTACATTTGTACATTACTCACCACTCCTAAACCTGTTACGCTTGACCTGTTTGTTTATTCATTCACAGTGGTTTAAATATGAGAAAATGACTGCATTTGAATCTATTTCTGACAGATGAGGGTTATACCGTACACGCAAGTCTAAAATCAAGCTCTAAATCAGAAATTTGGGCTGTTCTGGAGAACTGGAAAAAATAACAGCTGAAACTGTGATTGCAAAGATTGCAAAGACCAAAGGTTTGTGAATTAACAGAATTATTTTGGATGTCAAGCATGTTGTGTTTTTATTTTCGCACAAAATTACATTTTCAGCTCCATCCATTAAATTTATACCACAGTCAGACAGAAAATCTTGTTGGCAAAATAACCATATTTTTGGTATGACATATTAAATGAAGCAGCCTTTGTGTTTTTCTGCTGCTACAAATAGGGAAGTTAATTAAAATCTGAAACAGTATATTTATATTTGTCTGATGGAGTTGACATCAAGGTTGCGACAATGAAAAAAATTATTTTGAGTTGAATAAGTTGTAAATTTTGTAAATTTTACACACAAAAAAAAACATTTCAGTTTTTCTACTTCAAAATTGTACGTTTAATTCAAAGTGTTCCTTGCTTTTTCTTTGTAATTATTTGAAAAAAATTGGTGTAGGATTTACAACTTTCGCTCAGATAATTTTTTCTCAGTGTATATAGACGATTGCTTAAAAATATATAAAACTATATACTATACTAAAACTATATTGCTTTTAAAAATATATATAAAGCTCTGTCATCACATACTATAGTAAATCCAAACAACGAACGACCAGTTAAAGTTCCCTGGCGGCTAAATGATTTCATCCCTCTACAACTACTGTGTCAGAGGAGGTTTGTGTGCCACTACAGCAAATTACACTCCCGCAATTCTCCCTGCTCCCTCTTTATTGAACATTATAGAGTGTGAGATTAGAACAGGGACGGAGGAGAAGAGAAAAACACAGAGAAGAGGAAAGGAGGTCCATTTAGCACCCATAATCAGCCGACAAATGAAAGCAGCGGCGTAAGCGCTGGACACTGTTGCGTCATTTACGGACAGCGTAACTCAGATGCAGTGACCGCAGCCTCAAGAACGTTCATCTGACTGTATACACTTTGCATTTTTAATGTTTCCCAGAAATGTACAGCTTCAGAATATGAACTGCTAATTGCATTTGATCTGAATTGCAATGTCTATTTCATCAAATATGACACAAAAAGCGCAACAAAGAGCGGCGACAACAAACTGCATTATCTTTTTAGAAGCCAAATCAGGAGATTTCTTCTCCTTATACAAATTATTTGATTCCCTAGAAACAGAAATCTGATTAGGATTGTCTTTCAATTTCCTGACACTGACAACCCACTAACCTAATTACCCGCTGGTCCCCGTGGTCCTACTCTTCCTCGCAAACTCCGGGAGATCATTTGATGGTTGCTAAGTCGCAGTGAAATCTCATTTCTCCTAACTACAGTTTAAATATTTTTATTGATAGTCACAGACGGTGGGGAGCGAGATAAAATGATTTTGAATTATGCTAAAGATTGGATTGACTAAATGCACCGTAAATATAATTTAAATTTGGCCCAAATGGTTTGACTTAACAAGCTTATTATTACAAAATACCTAAAGGACATAACTTTAGTCCTAAACAAAGGCACATTCTCATTCTTTGTCTTGTTATTGAAATTGCCACGCTAATTAATCTGAAATATAATGCTAATGTTATTAATGTAAAAATAGATTAAACACAACACAGTGGTCTAGTTTTGCTCACGAGCATGAAAACATATCCATGCTGAAACTAGTCTTAGTTGGTTTAGTAAGTCTCCCCAAACCATTCTAAAACATCAAACTAGGTCAGATAAAACCATCAGGCTGGTTTAAGCTGGTTTTTACTTTTTTTGTATATGGTCACATTTGACCGCATTCTCCAGTCATCAGGTTTCTCTAAAGATCTTGTCGACCAGGCAGAAACGCTTCATGTCACATGCTACTGTCAGCCATCGCGAAGCCGGTGTGAAGATTCAGAGGTTCATAGGTGCCTGTTTTAATTAGAACAGTAACTGCCATAATTAAACAGATGCTGGCAGGAATTAAACCTTGGCACTCTCTAGTTTCCCGTTACACCCGGAGCAAGAGGGTCAGGGAAAGAGATAAAAGAAAAAGGCTGATTTGTAACGGATCGGTGTGTCATGAGGTCTTTAGATCTCACTGGTTCGATCAGTACAACATGTATTGTGAAATTACAGCTATACAGTCAAATCAGATCCTACTAGATCAAGAACGTTGTTATAGTTTTTATAGGATGAGACTCATTAGTGCATGTTATTCCATTGGAAAACTAATTTAAAAAGTAGTAACTTTTACACCAGTATTCAAACCCAATCTGAAAGCCTTACGTTGGGCGCCAGTTTTTCTGATTCTCGCTTTAGTTAAATGCAGAAGTAAAACAAGTTACAAATGCCATTTCAAATTGATCTTAAGACAATTAGAGCAATGTTCCCTCTAAGCTGCGAGTGTGTGCAACTGTGCACTTCTTACATCGCGACCACGCGGAAATAAATAATATGCCGCGCACAGGACAGACGCAAAACTGAGTTGGGAAAGCCATCTGACTGAATTCTAGTAAATGAAAAATAATTGCAACGCTCGGGCAAACTGGGTTCACAGGTTTCACAGAAAGAGAATGATGTTCGCCAAATGAATCACTGTAGAAATCAAATACTTTAATGATTGCAGATGAAATATTAATAGAATGTCTTGGTAACACAGCACTGTAAAGAAAAAAATTCTCAGGTAACCTAAAATGTGCATTATTTAGTTACATCAAGGGTCAAATCATATATAAATAGTACATTAAAGGTGACGTATTATGCACCTTTTTACAAGATGTTAAATACGTCTCCGATGTCCCCAGAGTGTGCATGTTAAGTTTTAGCTCAAAATACCCCACATCATTTTTTTATAGCTTGTTGAAATTGCCACTTTTAGGGTATGAGCCAAAACACGCTGTTTTTGTGTTTGTTCCTTTATATACAAATGAGCTGGTGCTCCTCTTTCAGAAGAGGGCGGAGCTTCAAGAGCTCATGCTCCAGGATACCGACAACAACAAAACAGGACAATCTCACGCAATCTGATTGTACTGTACAGTAAATGCGCGTTTATGAATTACACAGATGGGGAGCACGGTGCGATAAAAATAACGACATAGCTGGTCTCATGGTGCCTTCGCGTGCTATCACATTATGAGCTCGACAAATTCAAGCGGTCGACTTCACATTGCTTTCATATGCAATTTTTAACTACCACATTCCTATTTACGATCATTCTGGTAGCATGTGAAGGCAGCATCAGTGAAAACAGGCAGAGACAATTGTAGCTTTTTTGAAGCTTTTTGAAGCTCTTTTGGAAAACAAAATATGACGCATGACATTTTAACATTCACGTTGATAATACAAATGATGCATTAGGACTTGCGCGAGAGGATCTCGAATGTCGTTTCTTCAAAGCGAGCGTGGCGGTGTGGGAGAGAGAGGGGGCTTAGGGCCAGCGCGGAAAGCATCTGAGTGTGGATTAGCCGAGGGCCCATGACTGCGCGAGGGCCAGCTGACCCCGGGCTCCTTTTCCTCTCTCAAAACAACAATCCCCTCTTGAGCAAAGCCCCTACAAAAGGGCCTGTCCACACTCCTGTCGGTGGTTCGCTGGGGGTAGCTGGACTTGGCAGGGGCCCTTATTTTTGGTGGTCTCACCTGTTCTGGGTGCCTGTCATCTGGGCGAGGGGAAAGTGTCAGCGTGGCTGGGATGGTTGGCAGTGCCTCAGGGAGCTTAGGCTGACCCGTTTTTAGCTAGGAAATTCACAAGGCTGCGTCCTAAGGCCACGGTGAACTCTACCTTTCATGGCTGCCGTTAACCCCCATCTGAACTGGCCTCGCGTCAGCACTATTTCAAAGAGCCTTGCGTTTGGCATGCTCTTGGGCGCGTGGCATTTTTCCTCACGTACGGTGACGAGAGATACAGCGAGGAGACCGCAGAGCTGACATCTAACCCAAAAACACCTGTGTCACGGCTTCTAGCACGGCCAGACCCAATCAGGCACTCTTCCCACAGATGGTGCCAACAAAGAAGGAAACTCACGCACTATAATCCTGCCAGAGGACAACTGAATGTTGTTCACTGTGGATTGATGAACTCTCTGAAATAACTCAAAAAACGGGACCTTTAGGGGTACAACAGCTCAACTTCAAAGGGACATCTTCACCCCTAAACGATTCAAAGTAGTACCTTAAGGGTACATATTACTCCTCCAAGATAGTAATATGCACCTTTTAGGGGTAGAAAGGTACAAAGTTGTCCCATTATGGCTACTGCCCCAGTGAAAAGCCCCTAAATGTACACATTTTTGGGAGTGGGGAATTTTTCTTCTGAATATTTCTTAAATTCAGCAGTTGAAATTGTTTTGGAAAAGTCTGTTATTAGAACAGGACTACAATGTTGTTTAGGTAGCAATGTTGTTTTGAAACAACACCAATGCCTATGGTACCTTCCTAAACTGTAAAATGACCATAAAAACTACAATTTAAACAACTTCACAGTCCAAACAATAAAAGTTTTCACAAAAAATAAAACGTTTTACAAAATGATATACCTTTCAGCCTAACAAATGATTATGTATGTTTTATACCATGGTCTGTCTGAATACTCGATTCTGATTGGCTGGCAGGTGTGCATTAAAACCGTTTAATGCACAGGTAGTTCCAAGTCAGTTTAATCACTGTTCTACATTAATGCGCTTATTTAATTGACACACACACACACATACAGATCAGATATAGCACTGTTCACACACTGAAACATTCAGGA